AAAAAAAAAAAAAAAACTACAAAACAACAACAATAATTACTAAAAAATAAAATCAAGAATCAAACCCATAACATAAATACGAACAAAAAAGTATAAAGAAATAGGAAAAAAATCTTACCAAATATGCAACGACACTTAATCACATATCCTCTCCCATCTCACCCATAAAAAATATCAATTCTGCTTCACGTACAGAAACAGAATGCACAGAACACGGCAGGGTGGGTGGATGGGTTTTTTTTTTTTTTTCCAATATTTTACTTGATTTCTGGCAAATCCATTTATGTGATTTGCTGAAAAAATATACCCATTCAAAAGAAACAATAACAATAATTACCTCTTCTCGTTCACGTCTTGTTAAAAATGATTAAAAAATCCATAAAACGGCTAAAAACCATAATGATATTGAATTTAATTTTTGTTATCATACCCAAATTCAAAATGATATTACTAAACCACTTAAAATGAACATATTGTCAACTAGTATATTAAAAGAAGAAATGTTATTAAATGCGTGCAAACTAAAGGCGCAATAAAATGAAGTATACACAATCAGTCCAGCTTTCACTAGTCGAGGAAGTAGTAGCAAAGGAAACAAGATTGTGGACCACTTGATTCTCAATACAAGGCACAAGCTACAAAGTGACGAGAACTGCTTCTGACCTCATTAAGTAACGCTACAATCAAGACAAACCAAGTAGAATAAGAGAAGTGCTTGGTGTACACTTACACATCCCCTCACAACATAGGTGAATAATTGTGACCCCCACGCTTGTGAGGGGCTGTGTACAAGAGTGTACACGCAGCCTTTTTCATAGGATAATGCTCATTGAAGCGACAGTGCAGGATGGCAGCACTTTTTTTCGAACTGTCACGGCATTACACTCCTCTTCTCATATCAGTAGCGACAATGACCTTCGAAAGAGCTTCCACCACAAACACCATTGTGGCCCAATTATGTTCCCAAAAAATTCCCTTTCCGCCATTTGCGAACAGATAACACAGCACTATAAAGGTGCATAGTTCTGGCCAAATTGTATCGAGTTGGGTCCACATAGAACCAACCAACATCATCTCCTCACATATCCACCATGCACAGTGTTCCACTGAACTCTAATAGGTTGGATTGTCAGCGTGAGCAACCAGTCCAGTTTGTGGAACCACGTAAATTCAATCTGTTTGCACCCACCCAAAAAGGCAATGTCGGATCCAAATTCCACACCCAACAACCTCCCTGTTGACGCCAGAACCACCACCTCCCGCCGCCGCTTACCGAACTTCAACTGGAAAGGTGTAAAACCCATTCCATTTTTCATCTCCATTTCCATTGGGTTACTTATCCGCTTTAAAATATTTTACACATAAATTAATAAAGTTTCTTTAAATTTTAATCACACATTCTCCAAAAAATACTATTTAAAACTCTATTCTTTCTCCATAATGGGAGACAAATAGGGACTAAGTAACGCTACAATATCAAGACAAATCAAGTAGGATAATGCTCATTGAACGAGGTTACTGACAGGGAGGGTGACAGTGCAGCATGGCAGCACCTAATTGGATTTTTTTTTTCAAACTGTCACGGCATTACATTCCACTTCTCATACCAGTAGCGACAATGACCCTCGAAAGAGCTTCCACCACAAACACCATTGTGGCCCAATTATGTTCCCAAAAAATTCCCTTTCGGCCATTTTTGAACAGATAACACAGCACTATAAAGGTGCATAGTTCTGGCCAAATTGTATCGAGTTGGGTCCACATAGAACCAACCAACATCATCTCCTCACATATCCACCATGCACAGTGTTCCACAGTTCCACTCAACTCTAATACGGTTGGATTGTCAGCGTGAGCAACCAGTCCAGTTTGTTGAACCACGTAAATTCAACCTGTTTGCACCACCCAAAAAGGCAATGTCGAATCCAAATTCCACACCCAACAACCTCCCTGTTGACGCCAGAACCACCACCTCCCGCCGCCGCTTACCGAACTTCAACTGGAAAGGTGTAAAACCCATTCCATTTTTCATCTCGATTTCCATTGGGTTACTTATCCGCTTCGCAATACCGAAACCGCACTCCCTCACGCCAAAAGCGTGGTCGCTTCTCTCCATTTTCCTCACCACCATTTCGGGCCTCATTCTAAGCCCGTTACCTGTAGGCGCATGGGCTTTTACGTGCCTCACGCTCGCTGTAATCACCAAAACTCTCACCTTCGCTGCTGCGTTTTCTGCCTTTACTAACGAGGTCATCTGGCTTATTGTGATTTCCTTCTTCTTTTCGAAAGGTTTTGTGAAGACGGGGCTTGGGGATAGGATTGCTATGGTTTTTGTTCGGTGGCTTGGGAAGAGTACTCTGGGGTTGTCTTATGGGTTGGTTTTGAGTGAAGCCGCCATTTCGCCCGCCATGCCGAGCACTACGGCGCGGGCCGGAGGAATTTTCTTGCCCATTATTAAGTCCTTGGCGGTCGGTGCTGATAGTAGGCCCAAGGACGGATCGGCTAGGAAGCTTGGAGCATATCTCATTCAATCCCAGAATCAGGTTGGTGTGAAAATTGTGTTAAATTTTACTAGTTTTTTAGTTTATTTTCTCAAATACATAAATCAAATGTTTAATGTATTCAATTGGATTATTCCGGTCCTAATAATATGATGAAGATTGCAATGTGAATTGTCAACTAGCATATGAAGGAATTATCCACATATTTTTTGATAAATCGTGTTCTCCTTTGTTCTTTTTGTCCACCATTGTGGTCAATTCCCGGAATGTGAAATTTGATTTTATATATTCAAAAAACATAACTCATTAATAACTCACGAGTCTGCCCGACTTTCCACAAAGAAGAGGTATGTCAGTTTTTTGGTGAAGATGTTCTTAACAATAATCAAAGTTTTCTTTAGAATCTAATGTTGCATTTAGTAGGTGCGTGCTTCGGACAAATGTTGGCTCGGGAAGTTGTAGATTATCTCGTTCTTATTAACGTGACACAGATGAAGTGCTGAATTGACAGGCTTACATCTTATTTGCCTTTTCATTTATTATTCATGAGATAAATCTCAAATTTATTGAAAATAAAACTTACTCTTGTCTTTTTCACCACTACAAATGAATTAGTAAAGACAGGACATTGTGGAAAGAGTACTTTTAATTTGAGTCAACCTTCCACCATTCAGCAAATATCATTTCTTTCAGGATGTCACGTATTGTCCATCTTCTCAATCACAACTTGAAAGTGGATCCCAAAAGGTAAACCCAAATAATAAGCAAGTGGCCTTATGCTCTTTGTTCTATAGTTAGAATACTTCATTAGCACGTGGTATGATGTACAAGATGAAAATACATAATGAGCGTGTGATTAGGTATATGATGCAGCTAATATCGATTTTTGACTTTAATTGACATGGTTAATCTTAATGAGGTGGAAGAGTGATCAGTCTCAAGCTTATGTGGGATGAGCAATTATTGCTTGAAGCGAATGTTTAGGAGGTATCCTATGCTTAATCAGATGAATGGAAAAGCTTCTTGATTTTCTTCTTGTTATCTTATCTTGAATATTATAAGCCCAATCTCACTTGCAGTGATCGTGTTTTGCATAGTGATCACTTGGGCAAAACCTTTCCTGCATGTTTGTACATGTTGTGAATAAGAGGATGAATACATAGCACAATATGAAGTAAATAAACAATTTGCTGATGAAATGAGAATTTACTAAAAATGGAGAAAAAATACGAAGATATTGTATTTTCAATATTGTCTAACTTGTCTAAATCACAATGAAGAACTAACTATATATAGGGAATGTTTCAAACCCTAGAAATAAAGTTATAGATGAAAAAAAATGCTGAAAACACATCAAAAATGCAAAACGAGCCTGGGCCTGACGAACTGCCTTTCGAGTGCCAGGTGGGCTCCAAGTGGGCTTTGCCTCTGCAGCTCAAGCGCTAGCACTCCTGTTTTGAGCTCGAGCAGGAGACGGGCGAGCAGGAGACGGGAAAATTCCTCCCTAGCTATATCTTGACATCTCTAAATCTAACACAAATTCCGAACTTCCAATTGAACTTTCAAATAGAATTTCAACTAGAATTGCCAAATGGACTTCGAATAGGATTCCCAAATAGAATTCGGGTTACATTCTAATTCTAACGATACACATCGCTACCTTCACTTAAAATTTGGACATGCTTTGATTTGGTAATTGGGGGACCCATTGGGGGCAATTACGTTTGGTCAGCATATTGGTAAATAAGTTTATATTTTTGGATGTGCCATTTGAAAAGGTTTATTGGGTTCTTCATTTTCAGAGATTAGTTAGTCAGGGGATCCATTGCTGATATTTTTGTTCTCTTTGATAGTTGCTTTTGATTCTTCTTGCCAGCAGAAGTAGGCATATAAATTTCACCAAATAACTCTTGTATCTTTTCTACTTTATCGTTCTTATACTCCATGTTCTATTTGTTTCAGAGTTCAGCATTGTCTTCCCTCTCAAATCCATCTTTCCTGAACATTTCAACGTGACGGTGTTTGCACATATATGAAAATCTTAATGTATCTCATGAAGCAGATGGTCAATGCTTTGGTCCTTTCTTCTTTTTTCATTCTTTTGTAGGAATAGAAAGAAAGCTTTAACAGTCCTGATTAGATGGATTTCATCATTTAGTTCTTAATACTAGACTCATAAGATGCTCTGCAATCTACTTAGAACAAGCTGGAAGTTGAATACAAGTAAAAAGTCTGGACTTTGTTGGAGAATACATATTAATTTAGAAAAAGTTGGACTGTTATTGCTGTGATTAACCCAAAGCTCTTCCAACGTTTTATATTTTGAACTAATGTACAATCATGTTACATATTGTAGATATTGTCTATCCTTGATATTCTACGTATTGTCCTATTTTTGTTCTTCTTTCTGTACCTTATTCCATTTTTGTTAATTTTTATATATTTGGCATTTCTTTATTTGATCATTTCCCTTGTTGATGCTTGACAGTCTGCCAGTAACTCGAGTGCTCTTTTCCTGACAGCTGCAGCTCAAAACATGCTGTGTGTTAAATTAGCTGACAGTATTGGTGTGAAAATACCAAATCGATGGGTCACTTGGCTCAAGGCATCTAGCATACCTGCGTTGATCTCGCTTTCTGCAACTCCGTTCATCCTATATAAGATCTTTCCCCCTGAAATGAAAGCCACACCTGATGCTCCTGCCATGGCCAAGAGGAAATTGGAGCAAATGGGTCATGTCAAAAGAGACGAATGGCTGATGGTGGGAACCATGCTGCTGACAGTTGCATTATGGATTTCAGGGTAATACTTAGCTTTCTCAGGCAAATAGGTTGCTTATGATGTCACATGCTCAGGACTAAGGCATGACAAATAGTTTAATCTCACGTGCTAAAATAAATTTCCCGAATAATAAGTAGGTTATGTATTCAACGTTTCGCTATCATCCCACACTTTCTTTAACCAAATTTGAAGCGTCATTGCCACTAGAATATCTGTTACTGATCCATACTCAGTTAAATTTACTTCTCTAGGTTTTTAGAGAACTGACTACTCACCGCCTTCATTTCTGTGTATACAGAGAGGCTCTTGGCATGAGTAGTGTTATTGCCGCTATGCTGGGTTTGTCAATACTTCTGCTGTTAGGAGTACTTGATTGGGAAGATTGTTTAAGCGAGAAGCAAGCATGGGATACCCTGACTTGGTTTGGAGTTCTAGTCGGCATGGCTACTCAATTAACAGCTCTTGGTGTTGTACCCTGGATGTCTAAATGTGTGGCCAACTTACTTAAATCTCTTTCAGTGAGCTGGTTTGGTGCATTTTGTATCCTTCAGACAGCGTACTTCTTTATCCACTATCTATTTGCAAGTCAAACTGCACATGTTGGAGCTCTATACTCGATATTTCTCGGAATGCACGTGGCATCCCAAGTTCCTGGTTTGTTGGCAGCTTTGGCTTTGGGATACAACACGAATCTTTTTGGTGCACTGACACATTATAGCAGTGGTCAGGCTGCTGTTTACTATGGAGGTATTTTACTTCTCATTATACGTATGAATGTTTTTGTCTGACCAGATTACTTTCAGCACTGATAAATGGTGGTCGGGAAAAGATTACAAATAACTATAAAAGGACAATCACACTAATATAGAAATAATTTTGAGATAATCAGGAAAATACAACATCGAATATCATAGCTCAGGGCCTTAATTTTCTTTATGTAGAAAAAGAATATGATTAACCATTTTTTTTTCTAAATTACATATAAAAATCTTTCACCTGTCTGGAAATTTTCTTCTCGTCTGGTTATAATTTTGTGTTGAGCATCTCGATTTTTACTTTACGTTTTATTTTTTATTAATAACCTCGTTTTATTTTATATTAATAACCTAGTTGAGAAAAATGTCTTTGTTACCACAATGAATTGTGAAGTACTCGATCATAAATTTTCTCGTTTCCTGTCTTATATTGCCTTTTCAAATGTCTTGGGGACGTTTTTCTTTGAACAATCTGTACGTTTAAGTTATAATTTGTCAGTCATGACCTGGAATTGATTTTATTTCTCATTTGTGGTTCACAGCTGGTTATGTAGAACTCTGCGACGTTTTTAAATTGGGAATTGCAATGGCCCTTATTAACATTGTGATATGGGGATTAACTGGAGCTGCTTGGTGGAAAATTTTAGGTCTTTATTGAGATCCAAAAATGTAAGTCAACATTCTTGCTTCATTCTTATGATATTAGTGCTCAGAATATGGATTGAATTTTATAGATACATGAGAGTTCTTTTTCGACAGAATCCTCACACTATTGGAATTTATGCAACAGCTGGTATCTTTTAAAAACTATATAAATTTTGAGTTGAGTTGTAGAACTGAAAAAGTATCTCCCAGGAGACGCCATATTCGAAATGAGTTCAAAAGACATGTGGACTTAAGTTTTATTCTCTGTTTCCTGTTATTCAGGAGATAAATAGAATGCACTTTCAATTCATATGATACAGATGTGATGAAGTTGTATGCGTAGGAGAGTTGGCTCTTGAAATGAGGTGTTCGCTGTTAGGGATTAAGCCATGATCATTTCTTAAACAAAATAAAATAAAAATGCAGATTTTTAGTGGTTCTCCTTCACATTGAGAGCTATGCCCTCTTGCCGCCGCAGGTTATCACACCTGACCAGCTGACCCTAATGCTAACCTTATTAGGGCATTGGCAGGAGTTGCCCCAAGGGAAGTGTCTTCATGCAGGGAGTTGAGTTAATAAAGAAGACGTGTACAAGATTTTCTCACGCCTCTCACACTCTCAAAACCACCTCCCTAGAATAATTTATAAAGTAGGAATATTTGGACAACCTAATGGATATTAGGTCGATCCCTAGTCGAGGAGAAAAGTGTACAATATCATTAGGAGCCGCACTGTCCAACACTAAAAGTTGCATGGGATTGATTTGGGTTCACTAAGGACCTGACTGGGTGCTAACATTATTGATGTCATTACTCATTAGTTGCATGGCTTTCTAGTATTTCAATCTTAGATAACTGATATGTTCCACTTGTACTATGACAAAATGGCTGCCCAAATTCTTGCAAAAAATCTTTAAATTGGTTTTTAGTTATTGTCGAATATTTATAAATGAGTTGTTCAATTCATTGCAATAAATGATGTTTGTTATAGTTTGTAGTAGATCTATTAACTAACTGAACCAATGCAAATAATGATTTATGTACCCGACCCATATTAATATGAACCAAGACTTGTACTCAAAAATTTATGTTACTTCAATAGAGTGGTATTCCCTATTGGTACTTCCACTGTAATATACTGAGCAGGAAAATCTCTTTAAGCAAATTTTCACAATTCAGCACTGGGGTTGAGGCCTTGACATAAACGTAGACGTTAGGCTTAAGTCCTGATCCCTTGTTATGAGGAAAAATAGAATGAAAATCGAAAAATAGGTAAAGCAAACACAATATTCATATTGGTTGACTCTTAACGTGGAAGTTACAGGACATCCATGTGCTGATGCAAGTTTCACTACATTGGAGAAGAAGTGTAAGGTTTTCTTTACACCTACTGCACTATCAAAACTTTCACCCCAACCAAATACATGATCGGGATACATGTGAAAAGGTATTGTGTAGTTGAATGAGTTTTCGTCTTTGCTATTTGCTTCCCTCTTTGCCTCTATTTTCGTAATTGAACATCTAATACAGATGCATGCAAATATACGATTAGTGATTATTGACTATCGCTATTGGTAAGTCAAGTAGGAAGAGATGAGAAGACATTTGTAACGATCCGGCCTCTGTTCTCAATTCGTTGTACCATATATATTGTCATTTTTGGAAAATGATTATTAGTGTTTACCCATCCTACAAATTGAAGAATCAACCAAGTCAGTAAGTGGATTAACACAAAAACTACAATGAAATCGACAAAAGAAGAATGGAAACTAAAATGAACAAATAATCCCCTTTATATTCGGCTCAGAGATTCAATCCACAACACCACAAAGGGGTACACCAAAAGTTGGAAATAATAGTAGAATCTCAGAGGCGCACTAAGATTGAAGAAGATTGCACACAAAGGCAGAGAACGGTTTTCAGTTTCTTCCAACTGAGAGCACAAAGCAAAGTATTTTGGTGTGTTGAAAACCGAGGCTAGAGAACCCATTTTATAGGTAGGAAGTAGAACCGAATTTCCAAGAGTTTCTCACGTAGATAGACTCCTCAAGATATGAAATTAGTTATCAAGGATAGAGATACAGAGGATAAGGATACCAAGTACATCCAGTCTGTTCTTCAAGTTCATCTTCCAAACCGAGTATTGAGCACCAAGCCCTAATGGGCTGATTTCCTCAAAACACCCAACACAATTGGGTTCCAACTCTTTGTAGTGTTGTGGATTAAATTGAGAGGAAATTACACCCTACCCTGCTTTTAGATTTCCACTTTCAAAAATCCTATCACAAGTTTTATTTTTCAAAAATCAGGTTTTAATATTTAATTTAATATTAATTATATTACTTTCCCCAATTAAAAAAAATCAACCCTAAAATTCATTCTCCCCTCCCCCCATTTTCCCCT